GAGTGGAATACAGGGCTTCAACACCACATCTCCACTTTCTTCTATTTTCTACTGTCTTCTTCACCTGTGGCCACGGTTGACCATAATCTCTCACCTCCTCTTGATACTATCTCCTCTGTGTCACCCTCGGACACAGGCACAACTTTTCGTTTCCCATCTACATTCTACTCAAGCAATGGCCTGCATTCAGCACGATATCATTCGACTGTCTCCTTAGCGCATGCCCAGTCCATCTGCATTTTCTCCTACATAACTGTTGAACGATGGGTTCTTCTTTAGTTTGTCCCCATAGTTTCGTTTTACTACCTCTTTCTGGACATTTGATCTTCTGTATGGAGCAGAGGCAGCTGTCAATAAGTCTGCATCTAGCTGTTGGGAATGCTTATCGTGACGTGCAAAGTTTTCGACCCATATAGAAGCATTGACTGACTTAACGTTTGTGTTTGAAAACCAGAATCTTGTTTATTTTTCTGAGTGCAGAAGATTTCCAAACTGATTTCTGGGGGCTGAAGTTGTACTACGCCTTTCTAAATCTGTCTTTGAAATCCTTATTCGTTCCACCTGTAGTTGGAGTTCGACTGCCATTCTATGCTTTGTCCGTTGATGATTATTACAACTGCAATTTGGTCAACAAACAATCCAGCTTCTTTTGTGCAGAGTTCTGTATACACTGTACATTTTATTCGTTCCAGGATGAGGCGACTTAGTTTTATACTTGTCTGTATCACAATCTAGGCGAGGTTAAAAAAAATATGGAAAACTGACAAACTGGTCGAAGAAGCAGCAAAGACAAGATTCCAGGTGAATATAGACAAGACGGAGGTTATGAAAATAACCAAACGATTACAACAACAACAGCAGCATCCACCGCCAATCACCATCAACGGGAGGAATTTGAAAGAGGTTACTTCATTCACTTATCTAGTGAGCATTGTCTCAACTACATGAGGAACGGACGACGATGTCAAATCGAGCGAGAATCGGGAAGGCGAGAAACACATTCATCAACCTGAAACCAATCTGGAAATCTTCCGCTGTCACTCAGCCTGCATCAGCAACAAAATACGGATTTTCAAAACAAACGTCAATCAGTCAGTTCTTCTATACGGATGGATCAGAAACTTGGCAGCGGGTCACAAAGAATATTTCCAACAGCCTGTTGCAGACCTTTATCAACACCTGTCTTCTCTCTATGTTGAAGATCAAATGGCCGGAAAGAATCACCAACAAAAAACTTTGGGAAAAAAGAAAACAAGAACCAATCGCTCAACAAGTATGCAGGAGAAAGTGGAGATGGATTGGACGCTCGCTGAGGAGGCCGTTGGGTGATATCTCGTGTCAGGCCAGTGCTCGAGTGGAACCTGAAATGGAAGCGTTGAGTGTGACGTCCAAGAGTGACATGGAGGAGATTGTGTGAGGAGGAGTTGAAACAGTATGGACTAACATGGATGCAAGTGAAAATTACAGCAGAAGACAGAAGGAAGTGGAGATGTGCAGTTGAAGCCCTATGTTCAATTAGGAACCCAAGGGAACAATAATATAATATCACAATCAATTTAGCTTCAAAACCTCATCAATTCTCTTACTTCCCTTACCTAGCCTTCTACGTCTACCTTCAAATTACTTCACCTAACACAGGATATAGAGCGTTAACAATGGGGATAGCACACACACACTCGACTGGCAACAAAACAAACAAAAATTGACCGCTGTTTCAATAGCACTTTATAAGTGAAAGATTTCAACTCAAAGATGTTAGGAAAACACCCACAAGGACTGCTTTCCGATGATTCCACCACAGTGAGACCTTAGTTGATAAAGAAACAGCTAAGCGTAGAACACAGATCACTATTTTAACGCAATAAATTTCAGAAATTAAACATCTGTCAGTTGAAGTTCAATCCCAATGGAAAGCCTCTAGGAAATCGAATCTATTCCTCTTGTCTAATGAAAAAGAATACCTCTTAAATAAGAACAGGAGAAACTGAAAAGAAAACTTATTGACAGGAAGTTTTTCAGCCTACATTCATATGCGTACATATTAGTTTATGGAACAGGAAAGTAAAGTAGAACCAAAAGGAGAAGAAGAAGAGGAATTAAATAAAGAAGAAGCACTAAAAGAAACTTCAAAGTGATTGTATCCCCTTTTCTCTTTTCTTGATTTAACTGATAGTTAAAAATAGCAGAGAACAGGATATACAGGTAACCCACCTACATTTTTTAAATATTTTTGATAGAAACATTGTTCACAGGATATCCGGGTTTTAGGTAGTCGATTTTATGTTTCAGTACAAAAGAACATAAACCCTTACTTCAGAGACAGAGAGGGAGAGAAAGAGGTTGTTATCAAAGCAGTTCATCATTAACATCATAATCATCACAGAGTTACAGCAGCAGTCATATTAATGTGAGTAGTGTACTACTTATTAGCAGATAAGAGTAATATAACGAGTAATGTTTTCATAGAAGCTATAACAGTTATTCACCTTCAGGAAAACCAGCTGAATAACATGAAGAAGGTTACGACTAATAGAATAAACTGATGAGCAACAGACTATGGGATCAGAGAAATCTGTAATAGAGGATGGCTGATATTAATTTCGAATATAGTAGTCAATGTAAGACCTAGGCTGCTATTGATGTTTATGGTGTTTTTTCCCAGCAACGCATTAATGTTCTGTTGTAATTAGTCACCTGTTTTTTTGAACTGACATCGATATCTCTACCAGTAGTGAAGATACTGTGGACGCAAGTCTTGGAAGTTGGCTGCATGGGAAAATGTTTTTGAAGGCCTGCGATGCTGTCGGTGATCTGCAAGGTAGCGTGAGTAGTGTTAGTCGTTGTTTGATGGTGTAATTTAATAATAACAGTTTATTATTATTGTTTCCTTTAATTCCTGAAGGAACATGAGACTTCAGCCGAACGTTTCTATTGCCTTCAGTTCTCTGCCAACATTTTCATCAACTAGCTCCACGTCTGACCACATGCTTTCATCTCCTCTTCACATCACCTCCTCCTCCATGTCACCTCACCCTCGCATGGACGACCAACTCGTCACTTCCCATTCGCCTTCCACTTGAGTGATGTCCTGCACTGCGTGCCATGTCACTTGATGGTTTGTTTTCTCAGAGTATGGCCAGCCAATCCACCTTCATTTCTCCCTGCATATTTGTTGCGGCACAATCGGTTTCTGCTGGGTTGGTTCGCTCATTGCCAGAGATCACTCCCTGTTGCTGATCGTTTCTGGCCGGCCATCTGATATTGAGTGAAGTGTTTAACGAAGACACCTGTTGATGAATGTATATGGTTTGTTCGAATTGCCCTTCGTGACGCGGCGTCAAGTCTCTGATCGATGTAGTAGAACTGACTTAACACTGAAGTTGAAATCAGGATAATATTTTTTATGCTGTTTGCTGCTGATCTCCAGATAGACTTGATAGAGATGAAAGTTTACCTTCCTTTCCCAATCCTTGCTTTTATATCCTCATCAGTTCCATCTGCCTGTAGTTGAAACGATACTTCCCAGGCAGGTAGGTGAAGGAGGTTGCTTCTTTCAGATTTCTCCCATTTCTCCTGGTTGTTGTCTGTTGTTGTTGTTGCTGATGGCCAGGAATCTTCATCACCTCTGTTTTCTCAATGTCCACCTGAAGTCCTATCTTTGATACTTCTGCCAACTTGTTGCTCTTCAATTTCATATCTTCCAGTTTGTCGGAAATCAGACATTTATCGAGTTTGCGAAGTCCAGATCCTCCAAGTTTTTATGTGTTTCCATTTTATGCCTGTTTTCTCGCTTCCCCACCACTGTCTGTCTCAATATCCAGTCTGCCGCAACCAGAAAAAGCCTTGGAGATAGTGGACAGCCTTGTCTTATTTGTTTTCATTTCGAAGGACTTCGTGAATTGCTCGTTGTGGATTACCTGGCATGCAGCATTTTTGTACAGCTGTTGGATGTGATGTATAATTGTTGACGGCATCCCGTAGTAGCGCAGTAGTTTCCAAATCACCTTTCAATCGACGCTGTCTGCCAAAGGCCTTTTTAAAGTCGATGAAGCTGAGGTAGAGTGGTGACTGCCATACCAGTCTCTATTCAACGATGATGCAATGATACACTGAATGGCAGCCTTCAAAAGATAATCTTTGCATTATTGGTTTGTTTCAATGTCTAACGGAAAGTGAATATAAAACAAAACAATTCAACTGGAGTATATTCAATTCACTGTTTACACAAATCGAAGGGAAACGTCACTGCAATTTTTTATGGAATAAATTGAAATTATTAGTCCGACAATAGTACTGCTTACTAAATAGAGCAATGGGATCTATGAAATGACCGTAGTAGTTGAGCTAACGAACTTCCTAACTGGTCATTTCGGGCTAACCATTGATATCAGGTGTGCGTCGTCAGGGGATCAAACCCCAGACAATGTTTATGGTCGGCAGAGTCCTAACCGCTGTGCCACCGACGCATTCCAGTCCTTGCTGTTGTATATATCTCAATTTCTGTTGACTTAATTTTCCACAACAGTATATCTCCGAGAGAATGTATTCGTTGAAATGACAGAATCTTCCTGATTTTCCTATCTGTCAGTTAGTTACATCTAGAATTTTGCTACAAGTTCTTTATGCGTGACGCAATAGTCTAAGGTGTAAAGCTTTAGTTTCATGAACAATGCATTCGGATCTTAAGTCTCAGAGGAAATACGGTGAGTAAATGCTGTTCGCACTTATCAAACTGCCTGCAAATTCACAGAAAGGAATAAAGTGATGATAAAACGTTTATTGTAGTTAACCCGAACAGTGGATTAGCGTTCAGGTCACCTTAATCTGACTAAACTGTACTACTGGTGGGAATAGGTTATTTCACATATATGCTACTACTTATATCACACAAAAGTAGTGGGGATTGCATTGGTGAGATTTCCTCTTAGCGTAAGCACTTAATGAGTATGCAGAGAAGACTGAGATAATGAAGATAAACAGCCAACAACACCAACAAGTACCAGTCACTATCAATGGGGGGAAATTTTAAAGAGGCCACTTCCATCACTTATCTAGGCACTGTAGTTTCAACAACAGGCACACACCGATGGGGATGTCACAGTCAACCAGAATCAGTAAGGCCAAACAGACCCTCATCATTTTGATGAAATCTGTTTGGAAATCTGCACTGCAATCACAATAAATGGGTCAGAAACTTGGCGTGTGTGTGTATGTCAAAAAAGTACTTCCAACAGATCATTTCAGACTTTAATCAACTACTGCTTTCTCTGCCTCCCTACTGAGGAGCAGTTGGCTAACTGAAAAGAATTAGCAATACGAAATTCTCGGGACGAGCCAGTCAAGAACCAAATGCCTAACTAATATTCTAGAGAAAGTGGAGGTGTATCAGACAATAAGAATAAAGAGACCGTTGGGTGACATCAAAAGTCGGACCTTCAACAAGGGAAACAACGAGATGGATTTATGTCTGAAAGTGATATAGCGGAGATCGTGTGAGGAAAAGACGGAAGCTTACAAGCAACCATGTATCCAGCTGATTAGGATAAGTTGCAGAGAAGTACAGGACAAAGTACAGATGTTTTGTTGAAACACAGTGTTTCACTTGGAACCCAAGGGTATAACAAAATAAGTTTAAATCATATTAGATGGTTGGAGGCAACTGGCATGAAGCCTTGCACCTGGGTTTCGTGCTAGTTGACACTCGTTAGCAAGGCGTATCTGCAACCTTGAAGGAACTCATGTCCCGCCTGCAGTCAGAGACGTTACCACTGAGTTATTCGGGCTCGCGATTGACCTCCTGTAGGACTGTAGTGGATATCTTATTTGACACTAGTAACTAGTGTGATGCATCTAGTCCTCTTTTTGGTGCACTGGGTGACGCGAGTTTGAATCTCAGAAGGGACATGAGTTCCTTCAAGGTTGCAGATACGCCTTGCTGACGAGTGCCAACTAGCACGAAACCTAGGTCCAAGGCTTCCTGCCGATTGCCTCCAATCATCTAATATCATCGCAAACAATGTACACCGTGATGGTGAGCTACCTAGAATGGTGACCACATTACAACCTGACTGACAGAATTCATTCTGCACCGAAAAGAGGACTAGACGCATCACACTAGTTACTAGTGTCAAATCAAAAGTTTAAATCAATGTGCGTCGGTGGCACAATGGTTAGGACTCTCGCCGACCATGCACATGGTCCGGGGTTCGATCTTCTGCCGACGCACACCTGATATCTATGGTCGGCCTGAATTTGGGCTACCGATATCCATGCTGAAAATTCCACACTTGTACTGAAAATACGGTGTGGAATCAAGCTGTAAATCAAAATAAAAAATAAAAAAATAAAGCATGAAATTATATGTACATTAATAATCAACTAACCTTTTCATAGACTCCAGCAAATGTAAACTCTGTTTCAATCAGCATAACCAATATACCGAATACAGCAAAACTTAGCGAGAAATCAGATATTCGACAGCGTTTCTCAAAGAGACGTTTTCGTTTTCCCAGTCGATAGCCAACATTTTTTATTGTTCTCTGTTGATGTTGATTATTCATAGCATCACGTCTGATTTATGTTAGTGAAGGATAGATAGACGTTTGTTTTCATGATGGGGACGGCAGGCGGCGGCGTGGTGGGAGGCGGAAACAACGACAAAGAAGGAAAAACAATAAAGGTTAGCGAAAATGTTAGTTGGAAATCTTCTACACAAATGCCACTTATACATACTTGTTCATTCCTATAATTGTCAAAAATACTGAAATATTTAGTGGATTTTCAGATATCTGGTCGTCAGTTTACTTACAGTTAAACGATATACAGATTATGGGGGAGTATTGCCATAGGAAGCGTTGGTGGCATAGCGGTTAGGACGCTCGCCGACCATGCACATGGTCCGGGGTTCAATCTTCGGCCACGGACGCACTCCTTTACCTCGCTAAGCCAGAAATAATGCTGGTAAGAAGGAAAGGTTGGGCATGAGGCTAGCAACCCCATCCCGTAAAATGAACACTGCTACATAAACCTCAAGCCACTAGCTTGTAGCCCTATGTTCCACTGGGGAACGTGAAGAAGAAAAAAATTGCCATAGGACCTCCGTTAGGTCCCCTTCTTGCAGATTGTGTAATGAACAGTCTATAAAATGGTTAGTTGAAGTCAATAATTCAAAGTTTTCGACTATACGAAAGGTATATAGACGACGATCTCTTTATTATTCTTGACAGTGATTATGATTTGAATAATGTATATATTAAATGCGTTTAATGGCTTCCATTTTGGCGGTAAAACTCACCCCTAGAAATCAAGGGCGATTCCATCATTCATTTTCTCTATATGAAATTATCAAGAATGACTGGCAGTTCTCTCTGAAAATATAAATTTAGAAAAAGCTGTCATGCAATGGTCACTATAGCTGGATGCCAACTGGTTAAAAACAAAGCCTGATTCTATCGCTTGCCACACACATTCGTCGTTTATATAGTCGTGAAGCGTTTTCTAGTGGACAATTACTATTCTGTGACCTGAAGGATATGATCTCGCAGTTGAACACCTTGTTGTTCACTTTGTTTTATTTTCTGCACTCCTATTCAGCTGAACTCACAGTTAAACATAATCCCTCACCAGATCCTCGCTCGGTCACCTCCATGTTACCCCTGGACTACAGCCCAGCTCGTCGTTCCCCGTTATGGTTCCACTAGAACGATGGCCTGGAGCGTGACGTCATTTTGTGACGACAGAAGACAAGGGCCAGGCAACAGATCGTTTATTGAGAAAATTAAGAATATTTAAAGAAATTTATGTATATCATTGTTAGCGGAGGAGCAACCTCTTCTGATTGGTTGTTTTTTTACTGAAAGCCATTCTGCATGGCTTGTGACAGTTTCTCAGAAAGTTAAGCCATATCTCTGTGAATTATATTTCCACACCTTAACTCCATTATGATCGGCTGGTGATTTTCTCAAGGCTAAGCTTTGTTATTGTTTTTTCTCATGACCCTGATTCGGGAAGTTAACACTGACGTCAACTGTTGTCTACAATTTTGGCTTGCAGCCGGTTCTCACCACAATTTAAAAGTTTCCTCAGAGTTTGTGCAGTCAATCCCCATTTTCTTTCAAATATTTGTTTAGTAATAGGTTCTTTCCGAGATTTTCTTGTTACCAATCCTTTCAGGATGCCATTTGACCTTCAGAATGGAAGCGTGTGACCGACCTCAAGCAGATGTCCCCTGGGCTCTGCGGTCACACAACACTAACCTTTTTTCTATTTCAGGTACCCGAAGACTAAACTCAGGCGTGAGGTCAGCAACCTCACCCTGTAAACAAAGATGCTACAGAAACTTCAGCGTGAACAATCTCCTTGCGTCAAAAGAAAAAGTCTGTGTGGGGACATGGAATGTCCGCACCATGTACGAGACTGGCAAAGCTACCCAGATCCCTAGCGAAATGAGGAGATACGGAATACAAATATTGGGGATCTGCGAAAGCAGATGGAACGGAAACGGACTCACCAAATTGTCAACAGGTGAGTCAGTGATTTACTCCGGTCACCTAGAAGACAACCACACACACACACCGAGGGCGTGGCTATCATGATGTCACCAACGGCAACCAAGGCTCTGATACAATGGGAGGCGATCTCACCCAGAATAATGACCGCCAGATTCAACTCCAAAGGAAGAAAAGTGTCAATTATACAGTGCTATGCACCCACAAACAACGCAGACCTCGAAAAGAAAGAAGAATTCTACAGACAACTACAGGCAGCAGTATACAATACTCCAGCTGGTGACATTAAAATACTAATGGGAGACATGAACGCCAAACTTGGACCAGACAACACAGGAAGGGAACTCATCATGGGTAGAGAAGCTCTCGGAGAAATGAATGAAAACGGAGGACTCTTCGCCGACTTCTGCGCCTTCAATGAACTAGTGATTGGTGGCAGCGTATACAAACACAAGGATATTCACAAGGCTACATGGGTGTCACCAGATGGGCGAACCGAAAACCAAATTGACTTCATCACAATCTCGAGGAAGTGGCGGCGCAGCCTACTGGACACAAAAGCAAGAAGAGTAGCAGACGTTGGCTCAGACCACTACCTCGTACAAGGAAAAATCCAACTCAAATTAAAAGCTTTCAGAGAAACAGGAGCTGCGGATAGACCACAAGCCAAGTTCAACACTCAAAAACTAAAGGACCAGGATACAAAGGACATCTTTACTGCAAGCATTAAGGACAAAGCTGAGACACAAATCAACATTAGCGAAGAGGTCAGCATCGAAAAACACTGGGACAACCTGAAAGCGGTATGGAGCGAAATCTGCAGGGAAGTTCTGGGCAGAAAGAAGAGACAGGACAAACCGTGGCTCACTACGGACACTTGGAGGCTAATAGAAGAGAGAAGGATGGTGAAACAAAAGATTATCCAGTGCACCGACGAGCAACAGAAACAGGAGTTGAATGCAAGCTACAATACACTGAACAAAAGAGTAAAGAAGAGTGCCAGAGAAGACAAAAGAAAGTATTATGAAGCCATGGCCAATGAAAACGGACCCAGAGACAACAGCGGACTTGATGACGCCACTACTGGAGAAGGTGTGGAAAGAAGATAAAGTACCCGAGGATTGGAAGAAAGGATACTTATTCAAACTACCAAAGAAAAGAGACCTAAGTCAATGCAAGAACTGGCGCGGAATTATGCTCCTGTCCATCCCAAACAAAATACTAAGCAGCATCATTCTGGAGAGAATCAAACAAGCCCTGGATGAAAAACTTCGACCGGAACAAGCTGGATTCAGGAGAAACAAGTCATGTATTGATCAAATCGCCACACTACGGATCATTATTGAACAAAGCTTGGAATGGCAGTCACCTCTCTATCTCAACTTCATCGACTTTGAAAAGGCCTTCGACAGCGTCGATCGAGAGGTGATTTGGCAACTACTTCGCTACTACGGGGTGCCACCGACAATTATACATCTCATCCAACAGCTGTACTACAATGCTGCAAGCCAAGTAATCCACAATGGGAAACTTACGGAATCCTTCGAAGTGAGGACAGGAGTAAGACAGGGTTGCCTACTATCGTCCATGATTTTCCTGATTGCAGTAGATTGAATGATGCGACAGACAGCGGGCAATGAGGAAACAGGCATAAAATGGACTCACACAAAGAACTTGGAGGATCTGAACTTCGCCGATGATATATGTCTGATTTCCCACAAACTGGAAGATATGCAAGTGAAAAGTAACAAGTTGGCAGAAGAAGCATCAAAGATAGGACTCCAGGTGAACATAGAGAGAACAGAGGTGATGAAGATTCCTGGCCAACACCAACAGCCACAGCAACAACAACAGACAGCAATCAGCATAAATGGAAGGAACCTGAAAGTAATTACCTCCTTTACCTACTTGGGAAGCGTTGTTTCAACTACAGGCGGAACTGACGAGGATATCAAAGCAAGAATCGGAAAAGCAACACAAGCTTTCATTACTCTCAAGTCTGTGTGGAGGTCAACAGCATTCAGCGTCAAAAACAAGATCCGGATTTTCAACTCCAATGTGAAGTCAGTACTACTATACGGATCAGAGACTTGGCGTGTCACAAAGAGCACCTCAAACAAGCTACAGACCTTCATTAACAGTTGTCTTCGCTCAATACTCAAGATCAGATGGCCGGAAAGGATCAGCAACAAAGATCTCTGGGAGCGAACCAACCCAGCAGGAACCGATTGTGAAACAAATAAGCAGGAAGAAATGGAGATGGATTGGCCACACTCTGAGGAAACCAGCAAGTGACATCACTGGACAAGCCAGTGCTCGAGTGGAACCCCGAAGGGATGAGGCGAGTTGGTCGTCAGTGCGAAGGTGGGGTGACTTGGAGGAGGTGATGTGAAGAGGAGATGAAAGCGTGTGGTCAGACTTGTAGCCAGGTGAAGACTCTAGCAGAGAACCGAACGCAATGGAGGCGGATGGCTGAAGCCCTATGTTCCTCTAGGAACTAAAGGAAATAATAATAATGGAAGCAGCGAAGGCAATTATCAATAAAATATGCAGCTTGTTGAAAATGCTTTCCGTGACGCACTGTCCAAGTTTCTGACTCACTTTATAGAACTGACTCACTTAACACTGGCGTATTCTTAGTGCTGAGTGCAGAAGATTTCTGAACTGACTCGAGAGTGAATAAGGTATACCCTGACCTTTCGATTCCGGCGTGTCTGTGGTTGAAAGGATAATGCCTAGATAAGTGGAGGAAGTGATCTCTTTCAAATTCATCCGGTTGAGAGTGACTGGTGCCTGTTTTTGTTGGTGGTGGTCGATTAGTTATCCTCATAACCTGCGTTTTCTCTGTGTTCACTTGAAGGGCTGCTGTCTTCGCTGCCATTTTCTTTCACCAAGTTGGTGGTTTTCTTCTCTAAGTATTTGATTTTGTGTGACACAAGACATAAATCATCTGCTAAGTAGAGGCAATCTAGAGTCTTCTTATAGATTCAACGTACTTCTTTCTTCTCGCAC